TGTTCTTGTTGCTTTTGTGCAATAAATGAATAGTAGTTGCAGGTGCGTTTGCAGCTGTGGTCACAAAGTCACACACAAACATTGTTTGGCCAAATTTATGGCCGATATCCAGTCATTTAAATGGGAATCTGTGTGATTGGGAGTTTCTTGTGAGGGCAAAAAAGCTCCCCATGTAGATTTCACTTGTGTATGAGTTGATCTTCGCCCGATTGACCAACAGAAAGCTGCTTAGTTTGAAATTGACTTTACTGCGAGTGGTGCTTCATGCATCGTTACACTATATGCAATAAACAGTGGAGCTTTTTTTTGGTGAAATTTTACTGAAATGTGGCTAATGTGGCCATACCTTAAGTCTGAAAGAGATTTAAGAGCTATGGTGCAGGGAAAGGTTTTCTTTGTATGAAAACACACATTTTAATCGTATAATACTAAATAATTTGTTTTTTTATCAATTTTTCAGAAGATATATTCATCAACAAGCATTACTTTTACTCCTTTTTGCCGGAATTGTTTATTTATTTTTGCAATGAGAGAGTTTTGCCTATTCCTTAAACAGTACATGACAAATATGCAAACATGCTTATTTTCTGTGCCCATGCGGTATGTGTAGCATGTGCTGTGTGTTCGCTCTGTCCCGCAGCTCTAGGTAATAATTAAAAAGGGCTTAAGGCGCAGACGGTTCAACTTCCAATTTAGGCTTTCCACCCATCTCTTAAGACTGCTATATCACACATGGGCACAGATTCCAGATCATTTTGGCTTTTAGGGGTCTTCTGTTTAGAGAGGGTCATCAGACAGTGAAATAGTGTACAGAGATCAGCTTTCGAAATGACCGCAGTGGAACTACATTAAGTGTCCAGTGCTGCAGGCATCACATCACATCCTCAGTTTTCTGAGAACTGACAAACTCCTCTACTTTGATTCTGTGCGGCTTCTTTAGGTTAACCGATGTGTTTATATGGGCATATATGACTTTTAAGTGGCATCTGTTCTGCCATGTTGAAACACACAATTTACGTGTGATATGTTAAAAATGTGCTATGCAAAACCTCTAACTATGTCTGAGATATAATTGTTTTTGGGTATTTTTAGTTTAAAATACGTTTTGATGGAGCAATTATCTGTCTGTCATTTTACTTGTACGTGGCACATCTTATGTAAGGTATCCAGAGTAGATTCCTGCAATCAAATGTGTACAAAGACAAGTCTCTATCTGTATTCCAACCGTTCAAAAGTTTGGGGTCAGGAAGATTTTTTTTTTGAAGAAGAAGGTAATAGTTTAATTCACTAAGGATGCATTAAATTAATCAAAATTGGCAGAGTTTTATGTTACAAAAAAAAGTGTATTTCAAATAAATGCTGTTATTTTGAACTTTCTATTCAGCAAAGAATCCTGAAAAAAAGTATCATGATTTAATCGGAACATCCATTTTCAACATAATTGAAAATAATTTTTTTAAATGTTTCTTGCGCACCAAGTCAACAAATTTGAAGGATTTCTGAAGAATCATGTGACACTGACTTTGCCATCACAGGAATAAATTACAATTTAGAATACATAAAAAATTGAAAACATCTATTTTATCTTAATTTTAAAAATAACACTGCAAAGTTTCAGTTAGTGCAACAGAAAGATTGATTAAGTCCCAACACAAATGGATTGAGTACACTTTTTAATCTATTTGTATATATATTTTAAGTTCATTGAACAATGAAATTAAGTTAGGACAAAATGTATAGCAATTGGGTTGCTTTGGCTCATTTATAGGTAGGTTGGTAGGTAGGAAGGAAGGAAGGAAGTTAGTTTACTATACAAATTCAATGAGACTTCTATGTGCCAGGTGAATTGAATGTGGTGTTATACCTGGCCAGTGGTTTGAAGTAGGCTGGCACTATTTGTATGCCAGGTATTTTGTGGTAATTGACTGTAGTTGTTGTTTGGATAGTCAGGAGAGTGTAGCACACTGGTCAATAGATGTCAGATGGTTGGGTTTATATTAAGAGGAAGTAATTGTTTGTGATGAGGTTTTATTAGGCACTAAATTACACCATTGAAGTGCAGGGTTTTCTAAAGACTCCCATATCGTTTTTCAACAAGCTCGCTCAGCCCCATGTGCCTCAGCTTTCAAGTGAACAGCTCACATCAATTAAACTGTTTAATTAGGATTTTTCTGTAGTGGTCAGTGGTTGTTTACAGTCTTATGTATGTCACATAAGCGCCATGTTTATGAGGGAAAGGAAATCATGCAGATGAGGGAAGCAAATGCAAGACGAGTGCCTGTTTATATGGGCATATATGACTTTTAAGTGGCATCTGTTCTGCCATGTTGAAACACACAATTTACGTGTGATATGTTAAAAATGTGCTATGCAAAACCTCTAACTATGTCTGAGATATAATTGTTTTTGGGTATTTTTAGTTTAAAATACGTTTTGATGGAGCAATTATCTGTCTGTCATTTTACTTGTACGTGGCACATCTTATGTAAGGTATCCAGAGTACATTCCTGCAATCAAATGTGTACAAAGACAAGTCTCTATCTGTATTCCAACCGTTCAAAAGTTTGGGGTCAGGAAGATTTTTTTTGAAGAAGAAGAAGGTAATAGTTTAATTCACTAAGGATGCATTAAATTAATCAAAATTGGCAGAGTTTTATGTTACAAAAAAAAGTGTATTTCAAATAAATGCTGTTATTTTGAACTTTCTATTCAGCAAAGAATCCTGAAAAAAAGTATCATGATTTAATCGGAACATCCATTTTCAACATAATTGAAAATAATTTTTTTAAATGTTTCTTGCGCACCAAGTCAACAAATTTGAAGGATTTCTGAAGAATCATGTGACACTGACTTTGCCATCACAGGAATAAATTACAATTTAGAATACATAAAAAATTGAAAACATCTATTTTATCTTAATTTTAAAAATAACACTGCAAAGTTTCAGTTAGTGCAACAGAAAGATTGATTAAGTCCCAACACAAATGGATTGAGTACACTTTTTAATCTATTTGTATATATATTTTAAGTTCATTGAACAATGAAATTAAGTTAGGACAAAATGTATAGCAATTGGGTTGCTTTGGCTCATTTATAGGTAGGTTGGTAGGTTGGTAGGTAGGAAGGAAGGAAGGAAGTTAGTTTACTATACAAATTCAATGAGACTTCTATGTGCCAGGTGAATTGAATGTGGTGTTATACCTGGCCAGTGGTTTGAAGTAGGCTGGCACTATTTGTATGCCAGGTATTTTGTGGTAATTGACTGTAGTTGTTGTTTGGATAGTCAGGAGAGTGTAGCACACTGGTCAATAGATGTCAGATGGTTGGGTTTATATTAAGAGGAAGTAATTGTTTGTGATGAGGTTTTATTAGGCACTAAATTACACCATTGAAGTGCAGGGTTTTCTAAAGACTCCCATATCGTTTTTCAACAAGCTCGCTCAGCCCCATGTGCCTCAGCTTTCAAGTGAACAGCTCACATCAATTAAACTGTTTAATTAGGATTTTTCTGTAGTGGTCAGTGGTTGTTTACAGTCTTATGTATGTCACATAAGCGCCATGTTTATGAGGGAAAGGAAATCATGCAGATGAGGGAAGCAAATGCAAGACGAGTGCCAACCTGTGTGATGAGAGTTACCTGAAATCTGTGTGTCTGACCTTCCCAAGCATGCATAATATGGCATGCATTCTGATAATATGCACAACCATTTCTCTGTGAAGAACTGCGATTGATTAATGCAGGTAATTTAAAGAGAGGCTTGCAGTTGTTACACATTACTGGAGTTTCCAAGCACATCTGGGTAAGATTTCCGACACTCAGCCTTGCATTATAAAATGCTGAGCGAAAGAGGGGCAAAAACGAGTGAACACCATACATGGTTGTTTTCAGTGGTTCTGATCAGCACATACTGCTGAGTTGATCAAATTCATGTTGAATGCCATATAATTTTAAACAGTGGATGTTAATAGAGACCATATCGTTTGTGCATGTTGTAGACGACTACACAAACTGGACATTTTTGTTGATTACGTCCCTGAAAACAGTCATATTTGAAAAGAGCATGCATGTGTAGGCCGGAAAGATGGAGATGGGAGATCATCGGACATCTGCTAAATTCTGCATGTAAATAGATTCATAAACGTTTACGGTTTCCTTAATGTGAAACCACTCGAGGTTTAGGAAAAGAAAAGCTTGCTCATTTCAAATGAGAATTGAAGATAATTAGTTCCAAGGCCTTCGGAACCGCAACCTTCAAAGTAAGAGGAACATGTTGTGCTTAAAAATAGTGTTAAAATGTCACTGTAGATGTATGCCTTCCGATTAAATCTCTGAAAATGAGGGAATGCTTTTTCTCAACAATTTTGTAGGAGCCATGACTTCAGCTACATTTCATGACAAACTGTGGCCTTATTGCCGATCAAATTTTAAAAATGAGGTTAAATGACATTTTTTAAAATGATTATAAAGCTTGCTTTGTAAAGTATGGATTCCTATTGATTCCTTTTTTTAAACCAGGATTTCCTTTAGAGCCTTAAATTCAAATTAATTTGCCAACCAGCTGGAGAGAACAAAGGAGACGTCCTTTTTCAGCTCAGCTAGTGTGAATGGCAGGCACAATTCCAATGCAAATTGCGGTTTGTAAATCCATGTAAATTGATTTAGATTTAGAAATATTTGAATAGCTTGTGCTTCCGTAAGAGACGTCATAGGAAATCCTGTTTTTTCCAGATTTGCAACCTCGCTGCTTTGTTTCAGTTTGTGTCATTGTGACATTAAAGTGTGGTAGGTTCTTGTGCAGACGTTCAGGTGGACACAGCAGGTTTTTGTATATATTTAGGTTGGCCAGCACTAATTTCATTTGTACATTTTTCACAGTTCCATTCATTACACCACATGTCTCTATCACTGTATTAATATTGCTCAATATGTTTTCTGTAATTCATTTTGACCCATTTTTAAGAATTGTCTTTACCCCTCTCTATCTCCTGCTTGTTTACAGGGAATCTGAAGAATGTAGTTTAGCAGTGGGCTCCCAGCTCATGTTTCCAAATCAGGCCCTGCTCCTCTAATGAAGACAATATGTCGGAGCCATCGCCAGAGGGGAGCTTAGAAAACATTACTTGAATGTTTCCAGGGAAAAAAAATGTAAATGCAGAGATGGGCCAGTGTTGCCACATTTGAACGGTTTTAGTCAATGTTGGATCAGGGGCAAATATTTAATGGGTGTACTTTTTTTTACAGATATCCAAAGCCATTTTCAGGTGAAATTCAGTGTGAATGCAACATGTTGTGCGTGCAGTATGTCACAGATAACCTTTTTTTCTGTTTTAACTATATGGGATCATTTGAAAGTGAGATATTGTCTTGTCAAAGATGCATCCCAGAAACATGTCGAACCATGGTTTAGATGCACAGGGCAAGTCACTGAGATCTTTACAGTTTGGCTTCATCCCCCTTAATGAAACCATCTTTTATAACTTTTAACTGCAATATCTTGCAGTGAAATTTAATAGGCAGACTGCATAAGTGAAATTGAATAGGCCGACTGACCAAATTCCAAGTCATGTTGGCTTCATGAACTGTTTTATGTTGCCTATGGCATGCTTTTTACCACAATGTTTATTTTCTCGTCTGACGAGTGAGTCAAAAATGGCAAATGTTTTCAAGTTGCCTGTCAACTTAAAATTTTTGTATAAATGCTTTTCTGTTATATATTAAAATACAAAAAATAAATTGTGTGGCTTTTTCTTCCAGTGAGTGTTGTCCTTGTGTTTCACTAGGGGAAGTCCTGTTCTTTTCAGCATGATCTTTATGGATTTCTAGGTTGCAGAGGTTTCTCTGAATGGCACACCAAGTGTGATTCATTAAGTGCTTTATTAGCTTCGAGAGATGCGGGCTTATTGCATTTTAGCCCAATAAACCGATCCATGCTACCAGAAGAGCGCTGTAAAACTTGCAGAATTAAACCGAGAGAAGGGACTGATTTTCAGTGACTCGCCCTATTAAAACCCTAACAGTCTCAATACTTCACGATCCTGCTTTTGATTTGTCCTCTTGCGTTTTCTGGAGCAGGTTGCTTTTGAAAGACTAAATAAATAAGGGGGGGGGGGGGGAATACTTGCAGCTGTATTTTGAGTCAAATAACATGATACCAATTTTATTTATTGACTTTTCTGTCCAGATCGATTAGGTTATTCAAATCGCAATACATACACAAAACGACAGAATACAGCTCTCCTATGTTTTTAATTTTCGAATTAAAATTCATAACGTTTGAAAAAAATGTAAATTCCCTGTAAAATAAAAATTGTTTCAAAATAATGATATCTGAAAAACTACATACAACCTTGAAAACCATGTTTGACATTTTCTGAGGAATTTGGAAAGGAAAGGAAAGGATTCAACTTTATATATTTGTAATTGACTAGTAAACCGCCTGAAAAGGTTGTTGATCATCTACCCGGACTAGAAGACGTTCCTAATGGAAGTGGCACCTGCTCATCTAGTGGTAGGCTGTGTTTGACATCCCAACGAATTTTATGCAAAGTGTTCGTCTGTCTTCCCTGACGACGTGTTCAACCTTTCACTCCAAACAGATTTGTACAGAGTTTTTGTCAGCAGCACTGGACTGAAATGAAGTATTTGAGGAGTGTGACCCATTCTTCTATACAAAAGTGGCCTTCATGACATTAGCTCTCGAGTTGTGACAAACAAAGGGCATGTCAAAACCGTTTGTCTTCATTTGCATAACGTTTCCCACAGGAGTGGAGCAAGCCCTGCTCCTTCACCAGTCACTTCCCTCCTCATCTACATGTGAAGTGTCTTCATGAATGACGGCAGATGCGGTCTTTAAACCCGTTTAAACGGAAAAGAAAGCAGCCGTTTGCCTGCGTCTCTCCTTTAATCAATATTGAGATGAGCAGCTCAAGTCTTGTTAGACAGCTTACACCGGTTTCGGTCGGAACAGGTTTTTTAATCGATGCGGTTCAGTTTAATCTCTGATTCAGTGGAGAATGACACGTGACAAATTCTCGTTTTGTCCGTTTAGTTCTACATTTTGCAGCAGCAGCATTTTGGTCAAAAAGAACTTCAAAACATACATTTGCGTGATTACCATGTATTGTGTTTAGAAAATCTACGACTCAATCAGGACTAATTGTCTCAGCGATATTTGTACTGTCTGTGGTGTGTCTATGAAAGATAATTATTAAGTGACTGTATAAGGGTGAACAGAAAACGCGGATAAAACTCCACTCCAGCACACGGAGCCTATAGTAGTTTGTATCGTTGGCAGTGTTGGGGAAAGTTACTTTTTAAAGTAATGCATTACAATATTGCGTTACTCCATAAAAAAGTCAATAATTACGGTACTTAGTTACTTTTTATGGAAAGTAATGCATTACGTTATTTTTTCGTTACTTTTAAAATCTGGACAGGGCTTGCTTGTTTGTTTTGAAAAAAAAAAAAGTTATATTTTTGGCAAATATAAAAGCCTTTTCACACCAAAAGTGAAATGAATAAGCCTCAGGCTGAAGGGAAAGTAAATTTACGTCCGTACAGTAGAATGCAGAAGAAGAAATTTCAACACACTTCAGCAATGAAAAAAACACACAAATGTTTGTCTAGAGTCATTTTTGCTTATTAGTACGCTTGAACTGGATCATCGAAGGTCAGAAGCGAAGACATTGGTTAATAGAATGGGATTAAATACATAAAATAGGCCTATATTTGTGTTGTTTAACATTTAATTATTGCAGGTTTGCATCATATTCTGAGTTGCATTATTTTTATTAATTTTGAGGAATACTGAATCTTTTTTTTTTGTGTGTGAGTGAGATGAATTAATGCATATTCATATTTATTTTAGAACTACAGCAACATGGGGACAGGAGAGCTGTCAATCAATAAATTGGGGAAAAAAGTAACTGGCGTTACTTATTTGAAAAAGTAACTCAGACATTCTCTTGTAAATTAAAAAGTAATGCGTTACTTTACTAGTTACTTGAAAAAGTAATCTGATTACGTAACTCGCGTTATGCGTTACCCCCAACACTGATCGTTGGTATATTAAAGAAGAAAAATATGGGTAAAAATGAGTAAATTATGACAGGATATTAATTCTGGAGTCAAGTAATCCGTCAAATGTTGTAATTTTAAATGACCCGCTTATCCTTCACCAGTCAGTCTCGCAGATGCTCCATGTCATGTTTTCGAGCGGACTCGGATCCCTCTTGAGAGCGTCGGGTGTGTGTATTTAGGCTAATGCCTTTGATTCAGTAACAGTTCATTGAGGGTGCTCTCCTGCAACAGGACGGGGAACATTTCTCCAACTTCATGTCCAGAGTCGACTTAATATCTGTCTTTGCCAAATACAACAGCACCTTATTTCAACGGCTTTATTTTGATGCAGTGCATCTTTAGCGCATTAACTTTTCCTAAATTATACAAATTCTTGCTCTTTAGTCATACTGGATTCGCAACAAGAACGCAAGTTGACCATTTCTCCTGTAAAGGTAAGTTATCATAAACAATTTCAGTTTTACTGTTTTTTTTTTTTTACTTTCATATATTTCCATTATGCAAATTCCAACATTTAAATAACTTTTAAACTGTATTATTTCAACGCTTTTTGCTGTTGTTTAAATGACGCGTGATAATAATTATTCTGAAATGTGTCTATAAAACTAGATTTGATAGTTTTTGTTTATAGAATTTACTACAAATTCCACATCCACTCTTGGATATTTATGACCCAATTATTGGGTCTAATCCAGTCTCTGGTTGTAATTCAGCTGTATTTAAATCAGTTGAATGTCACCAACTAATGTTTTAATCTTGTTTGTGTCATAATTGACTGTTTAACTGACACTAACTAACACAGCATCTCACTGGCTAGTGATAGTATAGGCAATGAGCAGTTATATGTACTGCACCACACAGAATGTGACACAAGATTGACACTGAAAAAAGATGATCAATTTCTATGATCGCTTTTAAAATTATATATCTAATGTAACTAGATCAACACATCTTTTACGATGTTTTTTCACAGGACTCATTGAATAGTCCACCAACAAAACAGACTAGTCCAATATTAAAGTTAGGGTTTGCAGATAACCGCAAAGTTCGGGTTTACATTTGTCTTGGTCTAATTAAGTTGTAGGCTTCATCGTGTTATATGTGACCGCTTCCAGGCGATGGATAATGAATACAATGAGCTAAACACAAAGATCTCGAGATGAATGCCCTACAGCTGTCAATGTCTGAGATGAGCCTGTGTGCTGCTCTTTGCTGGAGGTCCATTGCAGCTGCATGCCAGCTTTCAGCAATTATGCCTTCCCCCAAAAGAATGGGTTTAAGTGGGGATTGAGGAGAGTGGAGCAGCACATATGATTAAGTGCCTCATTACTTGTCCTCCGTGTGTGCGAGCACATGTGAGACGCAGGAGGATATGGAGTCACAGGATGCTGTCACGTACTTCATAATTAACCCCACATCTGAGGGATTATGAATGGTTCATCTCTACAATAGTCTTGGAAAGTCATATGACTTGATGCCCTTCTGATCCATTGATAAACTCTTGCCTTGTGATCTCAGTTAAAGGCATAGTTCACCCACAAATCTTTATAATTTAAGGCTGGAATACACATACGCATGATTTTTGCCCATATTTGCAGTTTGAAGGAGTCAATGCAAGTTGCTGAACTCCGAGCCAGTTGGAGTTGACCGATTTCACAGAAAATTGTGTACTTTATGATGGACACAGATGTTTTTTTTAAGCTTCAGTCTCTTTCTCATTTTTTCCCTTTTTGTTGGTCTTGTAGGCTGTATGAATAAAGTAAGTTCATTGTAATGTAGATCTGTGCAGGCCTTCTACAAAAACACATGTTACACATTTTACATGTTTAAAAAAATCATTAAATTTACCCATTGAAAGAGGACTTTCTGTCAGATATTTTGTCTCAGATTTTCCCCCCTTGTTTTTGAAATTTGTGACTTACTGAAACTAAATCAAAGATTTTTGTTTAGCACTTTTTTCTTCTATCCATTTATTTTTCTACATAAGAGAGCTATTGCCTATTATATTTAAAAGTGTGTACTTTTCTGTTTTTTTTTTCTGAATGTGAGGAAAATAAAGATACAAAGCACAACATATCGTCTTTTTCTTTCCAATAAAACACTTTAACTGAATCCCACATTTGACAAAAGAAATGCATGATTTAAGATGAACAACTGTTGACCAAAATCAAATAAATAAAACCCAAGTAGTATTTACTATTAAAATATAATTTCAAATTGGTAACAAATAAGCTCATATTATCAGGAGTGTGAAAATATAAACTCGGAGAAAAGTTTTTTTTTTTTTTTAATAACATTGTAACCGATCAGTTACAGTCAGAACCTGCACTAGACAACGAAGGTGACACATGAAAGTACAACATGTTCCTGAACAGATATTTCCTGAAAAGTTATCCCTCAATTCTGATTGGTTAATTGGAATGTTATTCCAGGATCAACAAGGATGTAATGTTATTCCAGGATCA